CGATTTTCGATTGAAAACGAAACGGCGGGATCTGATCCATATCCATAGTTCCGTGCCGTTAGAGCCATCTATCTAATTCTAAAATCTCAAATCGATTTTTGAACAATTTCCCAATTTCGGCCGAACACCTCGCAAAACCCAAGAATCCTAACAAACTAAACTGTCTGTGAGCTCTTAAATTGTTCTGTAATTCTTCTGCTTTCTCTTTCAACATTTTTTTTATGAAAGAAGAGGACAGATTAGCATGGATATCCCCTGGTAGTTGATATACCCTAGCCATACATAATCTAAGCAGAATGCGCTATCATATTTGAGCGAAATGCGATAATACCTGATGGCTTTTTCATCATTTCGATATTCCCATTAAATACTCATTTAATATCCAGATTTCCAACATGTTTCTGAAAAATTATACAGTTATTAGACAACTGCTGGACTCACGACTAGTCGATTATTAGCCATACATTGATTTCTGATTTGATTCTTAGATTAAACAGACATCTTAATATCACCTCCGACCAGACAATGTATCTCAAATAATCTTCGCGTCCTTGTTAAAAATAAATCCCCCCAGTGGAGGTGCAATTTGTGTCTCAGAATAGAGCTGAAGACGTCCGACAATTACCAGACAATTGAGACAAAAGGATAATGTTTGGTCGTGTCAAGGTCTTTGTACCCAATTGAGAAGAAAACTGCTGTGTTGATTTATAGTTGTCGTCTTTTATTAATCTAATTAGCTGGAGGAGTGTGTGAATCCCGTTTTCAAGATGTCGATCATGAGATCATATCATATATCGAAAATAAATTACATATACACTATCCTATGTAGCTCAATTGGTTACAGCAACAGCACGGAACGCTGTGGATGCCGGATCAAGTCATGCATGCCCGTGTCGTAAAATATTTCAATCTAAAATCGATTTTTTTATTTTACAATCTTATGCAATTTATTTTCGATTAAGTAGTTAGTCGATACTATTGTACCTTTTTGAATAGAACACTTTTAACGGCGTTGATTGCGAAATAAATTAGTTATTTCATTTAAAATTTATTTTAACCACGACGACCCACGTTTCGAATGCTTTGCAGCGACCGTGGTCATGGGTGAACTGTAATATAACTAATGGACTTCACGTTTGAGGCATTTAAAAGTGTTTTATTTAAATATGTATTACTCGCGCAAACACTAACAAAACAAACTTTAGTTTTGTTATTGCTTAATTAAAAATCATGTTATTCCCAAAGGTTTGAAGTCAGGACTTTTTGCTAGTAAACAACACCTATAATCTTTAATTAAGAATGAGTTATTTGTCGGATAAGTCATTTATTGATGTAATTATACTTTAGTCATTAAACGGTTAATATCCCGGTATTTTATCTATGCATTATTTATTTATGATTTTATTACCCTTTCAATAATATTGATAATATTATTAATTGAAGTTAATTTACTCGATTTAACCTTGAAAGATAAATTAATTTTGATTTTAGACTATATTAGTATACTTTAATTAATTCAATTTTTCATATATACTCAATATTAAATCGTACCGTTTTTGTGTACTTATATCTAGAGGACAAAGATCATTTAGTTAATTATAACATAGTAATAAAATTAATGACTTGTGTTCATTAGTGTGGTAAAATCATAAGAGATTTTAATAGTCCTTCAAGATGGTGTAATGTGCTTTTCAGAAGTGTCCAATAAAATTCAGTCGTTCATAGACTGGTTTATAACTTCGTTTTATGGCGTTTCTATCTTCTAAACACAAAGTATTTCAGCTGAATGCATGAAAACTTCTTGTAATTAAAACATGTGTTATAGCAATTAAAATCATACCAATTTAGATAATATTATGAAATCCTTACTAATATTATAAATGCGAAAGTAACTCTGTCTGTCTGTTACTCTTTCACGCAAAACTGCCAAACGGATTTGAATGAAATTTGGTACACAGATGGTCTAGACCCTGAGAAAGGGCATAGACTTTTTATTGCGAAAAGGGGTTGGGGTAAAAGGGGGTGAAGGTTTGTGTGGAAATTCGTGGTTTTTGAAGCTAGAACAATGAAACGTTTTTCTTTAGGAATAAGAGTGGGAGTGGAAGTGGAAGTACATGGGATGGGAGTGGGAGTTAGAGTAGGAGTGATGTGAGGTGAGAGTGTTGCGGCAAAGTAGCACTTACAACATAGATTGACTGCGATAAATGCACAATTACATAAATTAATAAACAGCCTTAATAATTAAAAATTCTACCCCAAGTGACTATTCCACGCGAACGAAGTCGCAGGCACAGCTAGTAAGTAATAAAAATACTTTTATCAATAATATGTTTTTGGATTAAACACTTCTTTAGCAGCGCTGTAAACTTTTTTGTAACTGGTAGTTAAAAAAAAATCTCGCGTCACACAATACCTGATCTAAAATTTGTAAGAAGAAGTCAATATATTTATTAAAACATTTTTATTAATTAATATACTATCTTTGTTCGTTAAACGCCAACCATACCATAAAGCAACGTATATTAAATTATACCGTTTTAAACTAAAACCTTTTTATTTTATTATAGCTTCACTCTGTAATCCTATTTAGTCTGTAGCTATCCGATTTTATCCTTTATATTACTTTAATTTTTAGTCTGTGGGCACTACAGATAGTTCCCAAACTTATTTTGATATCTTTTCTCTGTAATCTAACCTGGATTTATTAATCTTTAGTAATAAATAATTATAAAGTTTCAAACCCTCATATAATATGATTACTGACAAATTAATTACTTATTGTTAGAGATATCACCATATTTAGGGCGTTCATATCAATATAATTATCATTCATATTGAGTAACAACTATTTTGATTGATATGTTATTGTTGCCTAACTTATAAGCCGGTTAAATCCTGTTATTGGTAAACTAACTAGTTTAAAATTAATCCGATTATTATTATAGTTTTTTTTAATCATGATTGAGCAGAACAAAGTTTTATGGAGAGGTGGAATCCCCGGCCAACATCTAAACTAGATGCACTGTCGACTTATTTTGGCTTTGGACATTTCGACGTTTTTGCAACCGTTAATAAATATCTAAACCTAGAATTAATTAGGAAAAAATATATCTAAATGTAAATATTGCTTACGTAATTTGCTTTTTTTTGTAAACCAATTTTTATGTAAGAAAAAAGAGTTAAATTTATATAACAAGGATATATATCGTCTTTTAAATAAAACGCTTAGGTTTAAAACGTGATATACTAATAAAACTTTTTTGGCAAATTGTATATAACTTTCGGCCCGATGATTTCGGATGTTATTATACCAGCCGTCAGTGACGGTTAGCTAAGTTTACCCGTTAAAATGTTTTAGTTAAAGGTACTACTCTAAACTATAGAAGTATTTTATATAACATCTTTCAAAGTGCTGCTCAGTGTAGAATATAGAAGACGAACATAGGAGAATTATGATTACCCACGCTGGTCTAGCTGTGGGAAGGGTAATTATATTAATATTTTGTTCGATGCTAGACCTTCTCAGACTTAAAAGATAGTTAAAGAAACATTTGTACTAACAGAAACTATCGGTTTCTTTAATTTTGTATTATTATTAATTCATAATCACCGTATACAAATTGTACTAATAAAAATTATGATAAATGACTACTGTTCCTTTTTAAGGACTAATTCGTTCCTACAATGCTGTTACAATACAAACGATTCAAACTATAGTAACATCTGTTTTAGTTCTGTTATTTATATTACTGAGTACATACATGTGTCTGTTACTCCATCTGTAGATATTATTGGTCGGTATTGTATACAAAGTGCCGAAATAGATGACCGCGAGAAAGATCTGTACAAAAATCCACGAGGTAACTGTAGTCTACATTATTTGATAGATGGAGGGTAGATTAATATTCTTCAAATCCGTAATTGTTCTTAAGACAATGCGTTTTTTCTATAGATTTATTGACTGATATTAATTTAATCGTTTTTGTATGAAAACTTTAATATTTTTCGCGTGTTATTGCGCATGAGAGCATTATATTAATTTAAAAATCTATTTGGACAAAAATACGTCACGAGCGGATCTTGAACCTGGATGCACAGCAGTTCCGTACTGCTGCACTAACCAATTGAGTGGTTAGATTTCAATCTTAATACATTTTCATTTATTTGATGTTTATCTAAAGTCGGGACATAAAAAGCACAATATTTAAATACTGTCTGTAGTTTATGCGAGTAGTACACATTTAAAAAACACTTTTACGGTTTTAAACGCGATATATTTTAGTTAAACTTGTTTGAAATTCAATTTTAACTACGATCCGACGTTTCGGATGCTTTGCAGCACCCGAGGTCACGGGGAGACACATTCACAGCCCCTGTATCCCCGTGACCACGGCTGCTGTCTACGGTAACTATTATTAACTACGACTACGTCGGACCGTAGTTAAAAATAATTTTCAATCAAGTTTAACAAAAATATATCACGTTTTAAACCGTCATAGTGTTTAACGATTGGTAAACATGTACATTTTAAACGATTTAATACTCTAAATATGTATATATGTTAACTGATTTTACATGTACTCTTCTATTCGAATATGTGTAATAATCCGTTATAGGCAACAGCGTACGTATAATATTAAACAGCAGCAGCATTCAACGATTATATCGAAAACACAATACAAAACATTGTGCTTATCGCAAACGTACCGTAATAATGATTCAGAACTCTAATTAGTAAACGTTTTTATGTCGTTTTGTTCAAAATGACCATCGTTAATGAAAAAAAACTTTTAACCGTAGATTACGTCAAGTCAAGGCTTTGTTAAAACCGCGATTGGTCTCAGAACGAAAGTGCTTTCCTAGAATCGTTGGAAAGTAAGCGACGCGTCTAAGTCAAAGTTTGATCTCAATCTAAACTAGTAACGAAAGGTCTGTAGGCGTATTTAGTAAATAAAATATTGTTCGTACAACAATTTAACGATACGTGAATCACTACTCACTTTCGCGGCTCAATCCACATGTGTACCTCCTCAACTTGTGGAACAGGTAATTGGTGATTCTAGCAGAACACATTTTGTTTTACAACTGTATACGTCGGCTACATAGGAAACGTCATTTTTTTGTCATGGGCGTTCTCTGCGCACGCGGCTTGCGTTTCGGCGCGCGCGTCCGTCCCGCTCACATTACACTGTACAATTGAGTGGATTGACAGTACGCTGATCGGTAAACAGTGGCCCGAAAACTGCAGAGCTTTCTTGCAACGTCCGTCAACTGTACGAGGCAATTAAAGCAATAAACTCGATGTCTATTGTTTTGCGATTTTACGCGTCGTTTTGTAAACTTATTGTGTAGATAACACAATTGGAATAATATGGTTTTTACAAATGGTATAAATATTGATGAAACATATATTTTTGATGGGCTTTTCGATACCACGATCGCAGATACACAGAGCAGAACAGAACAGAACAGAGTAGACAGATCGCAATCGTGGGTTTGAATCTACGAGTACGAGTTTTTTATAAGTAATTTTACAGTACGTAATATTTCATACAAAGTTATTGTCTCCCTAAAGTACATTGTAATACAAGAAGTAAAGTGCGTTTATACACAATTATAAACCATGCACAAGTGCTACCATTAGAAGGAAACCAATATTTTCTCAAACAAAAAAACTCGATGAGATATGTCAAGCACCTTTAAGGAGGTCAGCGTTATAGATAAAGAATATTATTTAAAAACTAAGAAACAAAAGCCGTGTAAGTCTGGTTTTCAGTTTAATTATATACATTACTTAATATTAAAAGCCTATATGGTTTATTTCATTTTCATCATAATTCATTTCAAAATAAAAAAAATCTTTCAACAAATAGGTAGGTAGGTACTTCAGAATCTTAAAAATATTGGTCTACTAAATAATGACTTAGCCATCTTCACCCCCTAAAAAAGCAATATGTGGGCCAAAATACTTTTTGAGCCTAAAAAGCTGTCCCCTCAATGAACACTTAAATTCAATCCGAATCCGATACAAAACTGTGTAAATAGGATAAAAATGTTAAAATTTACGAAGTTTTACGAAACTTAATACTGCGTTACTTTTGTGTCCCTCTTGTTATTATTGCATCTTTAATTATACAAAGGATTATTATTGTCAAAAATGTCTTAAATTTATACGTACGTGCTTTTTATGACAAGAAAAATATTATGTTGTCAATCGGAAATCATTTCATGTTTATTTTTGTAATTAATGGAAAAGTTTAAGTTTTAATATTTAACATAGACGCAGTATATCTAATTCAATACGAATACTTGATGAAACTGATATTTCTTGATTTTGCAGATTAAAATTTTAAATTGACTTATTATTAAGTCTCAATGTCCAATTTATTAAATAAAACTTACATCTGTAAAATAGTTCCGCCGTTGTTTAATTTCTCGACAACTTGATGTATTATATGCTATAAATATTATTAAATCATTAAAACCATCGCTGCTGAGGTAGGTATATTATAAATAGAACTATAACATATCTATTTCAGCATTAAAAAAAAGGAAATTCATTATTTCAATTTTGTACAAATAAAATGAATCGTGTTCTCGAATTACGCACTAAAAAGTATTTTGGCCCATGTACCGACGAGAGACCACCACTCAAAATTGAAAAAAAATAGGTTGAGTTTTATTTCAAGCTGTCACGAGCTATAAACATGAGAAAAAATGATAATGTGAAACGTTACACCAAAGGTGTAAAACTTTCTCCGGTGCTATTCTGTATGACCCCATCCATTTTAACCAATAATTAATTATTAAATAGCTTAAAAGTTGATTCATTAGTTTCAGATCTCTGGAACTATTGTACATGCATTAACTGTTTTAATTGATAATTAATTATTACTAGGTTAGTACTATTTATTGTAAGAGTTTAATGAATGTATGGCATTTATGTTTTTTTATATTGGTGTACCGCGATGCCATGTGAAAAATTAAAAATATGAAACGTTCGACCAAAGTTTTACAACTCTGGAACTCTCCCCTCCCCGTGTCTCCCCGTGACCACGGCTGCTGCAAAGCATCCGAAACGTCGGGCCGAAGTTAAAATCATTTCCAAGTAAGTTTAACTAATATATCGCGTTTTAAACCGTTACAGTGTTTTATTTAAATGTGTACTACTCGCGTAAAGTATAGACAGTATTTAACTCTGGAACTATTCTACATGACCACACCCGTTTGAGTGCTTCTAATCAGTCCAAATGACGTTGTTAACATTGTCGAAAGACTTAGTCGAAAGCGTATCGGCTAATTAAGGCGAGTCGTATCGAATAATTAATTTCATTGTCCACCCTGTCCACTTTACGACGCTACTTTCCCCCCGGCCCCATTAAGCAGGCGTTGGTCATTTTAAATACCCCATTTATAGGATACCTGGAAGCGAATGGACCGTTTTATCTCTTTCCGTGTTTTTATAATCCATTCCCGAATAATGAGATTACATTCGCGAGTTTTTATTTTGGGGATTTCTGTTTTTCAATCGTTTGGAAATTGTTCAATCGAATGAAATTATTCGTGTTTTATATTTAAAGTTTTAGTCACATAATTGACGATAAATAGTCTTTAAAGAAGATAAATTTAAAATTAAGTATATTTACATAAAATACGATTAACATTAACTATTTCTTTATAATATTATGATTACATAATATTTTAATAATGGTATATACTTTCTATTTGTGCTAGGGCATTAGTCCTATAGTTTTTACGAAGATCAATGATCAAGGAAATGAATATAAGTTTAAAACATAATAATGAAACGGTAGATAATAATCTGTTTTATTATAATTACGTATAACATATGTTATAATTACGTATAATATTAAATTACATATTGAAGGGAGCCTAGTTAGTTAGGTCCGGAGTTCGATCTTTGCTTGTGCACAAAAATATCGTGCAAAATTGCCATGTTAAGATAACAGGTGTAGAACCAGCCATCAGGTCCAGTTCTCAAGTGTGAGAACTACAGGATTGATCATGAAGTAGATCTCTATCTATACGAATAAAGCTGAAGAGTATGTTTCTTTGTTTGAACGTGTTATTCTGGACTACTGGTTGAAATTTACAATTCTTCTTTTCTATTAAGACTAAAGACTTTATTGAGGAAAGCTTTAGACTATAAATCATCAGGTTCCAACCAATAGACGCGAAGAAGTAGAGGGAAATTATTCATATTTGAAGGATTCGGTTGGGTGCGCTGCGAAAACCGAAAAACTATGTATGAAGCAGTCTCCCCGTGACCACGGCTGCTGCAAAGCATCCGAAACGTCGGGCCGAAGTTAAAAATCATTTTTAAATAAGTTTAACTAATATATCGCGTTTTAAACCGTTAAAGTGTTTTATTTAAATATGTATGAAATTGATTCTCCATTTAGTGATCTAAAATAATGTTCATGACAGTCGCGAGTACATCTAGTGTTTTGCAATTTCGACAGGCCTATTACGAGTAACAGTATAAAAATTACAAACTACAGACAATATTTAAAACTACACCGTCCCTATGTCTCACCGTTGAATGTTATTGTTTTTATTACATGCAATAAAATATTATTCAATGTTTTGAATGTTTTTCATAACCGTGCATGACTGATTCGCAATGCTTTAATTGTTATTCAAAACGGTTTCATACGAGAAAGCGACGATAATTCGACTTTAACGAAGTTCACCGGTAAAACTACTTCTTAATGTTAACTATCAGATACCTACTGTCGATAGTAGTCCACATTAAAATAAAACACTTTAACGGTTTAAAACGCGATATGTATTAGTTAAACTTCTTTGAAAATTATTTTAAGTACGCTTGACATCTGAAGACGCCGACTTCTTCTGATGATGAAACAATAACTATTTCAGATTCTCAATTACACACTTTAAAAGTTAAAAAAATTAACGCGAGTAGTCCCACCGTTACCACGGCTGCTGTAAAGAATACCGAAACGTCTGGCCATAGTTAAAGTATATTGTAAATGAGTTATTATACATATTACGTTTTTAATAGTCAAAATTGTTTTATTTACATTTGTTATTTAACTACATAATATAATTTTGTAGTTGATAAGAAAAATATTTCACTAGAAAAGAATAAAGCACATGAGATATAAGTATGCCCTTATATTTTCGCAAAAATAAAATCAAAACTCAATTGAAATATCTATTTTTTTAATGTTTTGACAGTGCAATTAGACTGAAGGGGCTTAATTTACTAGGGTAGAGTAGAACGGAGAAGTGAAACTTATAATGCTTTTAATATTAAATAAAATACTTTTAACGGTTTAAAACGCGATTGTTATATATAACGTTGTTAAAACAAATTGTAAATACCTTATATATTTTGAGTTTTCAACCGTTAGAAATGTTTTATTTAACTGTTTTCTACTCCTATAAACTACAGCCAGTGCATAAAATTCTGTTATAAATACGTATGATCGTACGATCAGAATATGAATCTAAAGAGAATACAAATTAATTTCAGATAAATTATGCACGTATTTATGAGTAGAGCAATATACTTGTCTTTAGACATATAAAGTCGTACCACTACTTTTATAATTTATGTAACTATATGATAAGGGGCAAAGGTGGAACATGTGGACACTTTCCAGAATTTGTAATAAAATATTTTTTATATCGGAATCAGTCAGGTTTTTATTATATTTAACGTATCACATGGTTTAAGAGATAATCAGTCTTTGTGAAACTTAAGTGGTCATCTTAATATCACTTTACTTACGAAAATAATCAATTTTTTTTTTTACACACCATGTTTGTCCACAGGTTCAACACTTGCCCCTACTATTTAACGCGAATAGATTGTTTATCATGGCATACGTTTTTTTTTTAATTTGTTGCGCGGTCTATTTATAAAGGCATAAACCTCTTTATTGATGACTTGACGGGCTCATCGATGTAATGATAGCAATGAACCGGTAATAATTGACCCGTCGTGGGTTCGTTCCGTCCACTGATGAAAAAGTCGTGAAGTTAATCATGTGTCGGTTTCAGTCTGTGGATTTCCGAATATCCAA